GGCCAGCCCGGGGCGGTTTTGACTTCCTTGATCCTGCGGCACTCTGGCACACGCAGGACCCCCGTTGAGTCGACTTGGAGGCCCTTTGGGCCCGTCTTGGGGCTCCCTTGGAGGCCTCTTAGGCCATCTTGAGGCGTCTTGGGAACGTCTTGGGCCGTCGTGGATCGTGTGGAAGCCGACAAATCGAGAACGGCAAAAACCTGGCAAAAACAAGGAACATCAATGCTTTTTCCTGCTCGGGGCCGTCTGGGGAAGCTTCTGGAGAGGTCTCAAGGAGCACTTTGGAGACCTGTCGGGCCGACTTGGGCCTCTTGGGGCTCTCTTGGCGTGTCTTCGAGCCTCTCCGGGCGGCCCGGGGCCAGCCCAGGGCGATTTTGCCTCAGTTGATCCTGCGGCGTTCTGGCACGCTCGGCCCCTGGCATTAGAATATAGACTATAGGGCTGACCCGCGGCCTTTCGGCCGCGGAGTCTGCCCGCGATGGTGTGGACGTGGAAATGGAGCGTCTCTGGGGTCTCGCGGGGGGAGGTTGGAGGGGACGGTGTGGATGGTGGCCGCCGGCGCCGCGGGGCCCTGGAGAATGGCCTTCGAGGTTACGGAGTCTTTTTCGTGGGCGTCGTTGATCCACGAACGATCCGGTCGAGACGTCTGTGCCCCATCTGGAGCCTGGGGGGAAGACTTCAGAGTTGGTGCTAGCATTCCGTGGACGTGGCGAGCCGACGAACGTCCTGGGCGAAGGTTAATTGCTCCGCCCCGGGGCGTCGGAAATTAATCTCCAAATCTTGGTTCATTTTCCGTGAGTGTGGCCGCGCCCTGGGTCATGCATTGGGAGGGTAGAGACGGAACGCCACAGATACGAAACCCAGAATTTCAGAGTAAGCGCCAAATCGAAAGTTGACGAAAAACGTCTCTCCAGAACCCTTTTGCCCACCTGGGACCTCAAATAATAAACCTCGAGCGTGGTGTTTAATTTCCGTCGACGTGGCGGGCCGAGGAGTGGTCTTGGGGTTCTTTTTGCCCGACCGCGGGACCATGGAGAATGGCCTCCAAGGTTACGGAGTATTTTTCGTGGGCGTCGTTGATCACGAACGATCCGGGCGAAACGTCTGTGCCCCATCTGGAGCCTGGGGGGAAGACTTCAGAGTTGGTGCTAGCATTCCGTGGACGTGGCGAGCCGACGAACGTCCTGGGCGAGGGTTAATTGCTCCGCCCCGGGGCGTCGGAAAATAAACCTCCAAATCTGGGTTCATTTCCCGTGGGTGTGGCCGCGCCCCAGGTCATGCATTGGGAGGGTACACCGCAGAAACGAAACCCAGACCTCCAGAGTAAGCGCCAAAGCGCAGGTTGACGAAAGACGTCTCTCCAAACCCTTTTGCCCACCTGGGACCTCGGAGAATAAACCTCGAGCGTGGTGTTTAATTTCCGTCGACGTGGCGGGCCGAGGAGTGGTCTTAGGGGGGCTTTTTTGGGCCGACCGCGGAACCATGGAGAATGGCATCCAAGGTTACGGAATATTTCCCCACATGTTTCGTGGGGTTCTGGTTTTCTTCCCTGCCGCGCCGCACCCGCGTCTCACACCTCCCCCCTCCCCTTCTCCTTCTCGCACAGCACAGCACAGCACAGCACTGCTCAGCATAGCTCAGCACAGCTCAGCTCAGCTCAGCTCAGCATAGCTCAGCACAGCTCAGCTCAGCTCAGCTCAGCACAGCACAGCACAGCTCAGCACAGCACAGCACAGCACAGTCAGCACAGCACAGCACAGCTCAGCACAGCACAGCACAGCACAGTACAGCACAGCACAGCACAGCACTGCTCAGCACAGCTCAGCACAGCTCAGCTCAGCACAGCACAGCTCAGCTCGGTCGTCCAGGCCGTAGCAGGCGTGGCACTTTCTCGATACCATAGGGGGTGCGCAGGGGGTGGTCCCCCTATCCGCGCCGGTCGTCCAGGCCGTAGCAGGCGTGGCACTTTCTCGACGCCATAGTGGGTGCGCACGGGGTGGTCCCCCTATCCGCGCCGGTCGTCCAGGCCGCAGCAGGCGTGGCAGTTTCTCGACACCATAGGGGGTGCGCAGGGGGTGGTCCCCCTATCCGCGCCGGTCGTCCCCGTTTAGCAGGCGTGGCACTTCTCGATTACCATAGGGGCGGTGCGCAAGGCGGTGGCCCCCTATCCGCGCGGGTTAGGTAAGGCCGTTGAGACCTTTAAGCAGGCGATGTTGGCAGTTTCTCGACCACCATAGGGGGTGCGCACGGGGTGGTCCCCCTATCCGACGCCGGTAGTCAAGGGCCGTAGCAGGCGTGGCACTTTTCTCGACACCATAGGGGCCAGTGCGCACGGGGTGGTCCCTCTATTCCGCGCCGGTCGTCCAGCCGTACGCAGGCAGTTGGCAGTTTTCGCGAACCCTAGGGGGGTGCGCAAGGGGTGGTCACCCTATTGCGTCTTCTTTACCGCGCCGGTCGTCCAGGCCGTAGCAGGCGTGGCACTTTCTCGACACCATAGGGGGTGCGCAGGGGGTGGTCCCCCTATCCGCGCCGGTCGTCCAGGCCGTAGCAGGCGTGGCACTTTCTCGACACCATAGGGGGTGCGCACGGGGTGGTCCCCCTATCCGCGCCGGTCGTCCAGGCCGTAGCAGGCGTGGCACTTTCTCGATACCATAGGGGTGCGCAGGGGGTGGTCCCCCTATCCGCGCCAGTCGTCCAGGCCGTAGCAGGCGTGGCAGTTTCTCGACACCATAGGGGGTGCGCACGGGGTGGTCCCCCTATCCGCGCCGGTCGTCCAGGCCGTAGCAGGACGTGGCACTTTCTCGACACCATAGGGGGTGCGCAGGGGGTGGTCCCCCTATCCGCGCCGGTCGTCCAGGCCGTAGCAGGCGTGGCACTTTCTCGATACCATAGGGGGTGCGCAGGGGGTGGTCCCCCTATCCACGCCGGTCGTCCAGGCCGCAGCAGGCGTGGCAGTTTCTCGACGCCGTAGTGGGTGCGCACGGGGTGGTCCCCCTATCCGCGCCGGTCGTCCAGGCCGTAGCAGGCGTGGCAGTTTCTCGACACCATAGGGGGTGCGCAGGGGGTGGTCCGCGCCGGTCGTCCAGGCCGTAGCAGGCGTGGCAGTTTCTCGACCCGGTGCGCGTCCCCCTATCCGCGCGGTCGTTGGCAGGCCGTAGCAGGCGTGGCAGTTTCTCGAACCATAGGGGGTGCGCACGGGGTGGTCCCCCTATCCGCGCCGGTCGCAGGCGTAGCAGGCGTGGCACTTTCTCGACACCATAGGGGGTGCGCAGGGGGTGGTCCCCTATCCGCGCCGGTCGTCCAGGCCGTAGCAGGCGTGGCAGTTTCTCGACACCATAGGGGTGCGCACGGGGTGGTCCCCCTATCCGGGCCGGTCGCAGGGCAGAGCAGGCGTGGCACTTTCTCGACACCATAGGGGGTGCGCAGGGGGTGGTCCCTGAGCGCGGCCGCTATCCGAGACGGTCGTCCAGGGCATAGTAGGCGTGGCACTTTCTCGATTCCATAGGGGGTGCGCAGGGGGTGGTCCCTGAGCGCGGCAGCTATCCGAGACGGTCGTCCAGGGCATAGTAGGCGTGGCACTTTCTCCATTCCATAGGGGGTGCGCAGGGGGTGGTCCCCGAGCGCGGCCGCTATTCGAGACGGTCGTCCAGGGCATAGCAGGTGTGGCACTTTCTCGACACCATAGGGGGTGCGCAGGGGTTGGTCCCTCACCGCGGCCGCTATGCACGACGGTCGTCCAGGGCATAGCAGGTGTGGCACTTTCTCGACACCATATGGGGTGCGCAGGGGGTGGTCCCTCACCGCGGCCGCTATGCACGACGGTCGTCCAGGGCATAGCAGGCGTGGCACTTTCTGGACAAAATAAGGGGTGCGCAGGGGGTGGCAACGGCCACCAACATCATTCTTACATGCTTCACTTCAGCTATCATCACTCCAGCCATAATATAAGTATGTGGGGTTCCTCGGCAGCGTAATTTTCGTGGGCGTCGTTGATCACGAACGATCCGGGCGAAACGTCTGTGCCCCATCTGGAGCCTGGAGTGAAGACTTCAGAGTTGGTACTAGCATTCCGTGGACGTGGCGCGCCGACGAACGTCCTGGGCGAGGGTTGATTGCTCCGCCCCAGGGCGTCGGAAAATAAACCTCGAAGTCGGGGTTTATTTTCTGTGGGTGTGGCCGCGCCCCAAGGCTTCTGTTCCGCCTTGTAAAAACCTCTTGGGGTCCTGTTGGGCCGTCTGGTGGCCTCCTGGAAGCCTCTTAGGGCCCTCTTGGGCCGTCTTGGGTGCCCCCTTGGGCCGTCTTGGGGCCGTCTGGGACCGTCTTCGGCGGCACCGGGGCTGTCCTCGGACCGCCTTGGGGCTCTCTTGGGTTGTCTTTGGCCCCTCTTGGGGCTGTCATGGGAGCCTCTTGGGCCGTCATGGGCGCCTCAGGAGCCGTCCTGGGACCGCCGTAGGCCGTCTTGGGGCCCTCTTGGGGGCCTCCTGGGCGCTCTGGTGACGATCTTGGGAGACAATATTGTCGTCTTGGGCGCTTTGACGACGAAAAGCACGGGAATTGCCAAAATTGATGTTTTCCGCAAGTATTTGGAGGATTTTTCCTCGTTCGGGCTCTCTCAGGGCTCTTCTTGGAGCCCTGGAGCAATATGGGCGCCTCCTGGGCCGTCTGGAGGCTATCTTGGGCGTCTTCGAGAGCTCTTGGACCATCTCGGAGGCCCTCTTGGACCGTCTTGGGGCGTCTTGGGGTCCTCTCGGGGAGTTCCAATAGGGTCTCGGAGCGCTCTTGGGCCTTCTTGGAAGCGCGCCGAGGCCAGCTGGGGCTCGCGGGAGCCCGCTGGGCCCGCAGGCAGCGCCGGAGGAGCGTGTCCGACCCCCGCACTTCTCGCACGCACGGGCGCCTGCAATGTAATAGAGACTACGGCTGACCCGTGGACTCCGTCCACGACATCTTGCCGAAATGGTTCTAGGGGGGGGCGGCGGAAACGCTGCCGAAAGGCTATCCGCACGGCGTGAGCCCGTTCTCCAGCAGCGCCCCGTTTTGGACGTTGGGAGTGGCAGCGACGACGACGGTGACGGTGGCGCGCAGCGCGCCGCCGGCGCCTGGCCGGTGGTTGGGGTCCACACTCCGTCGAACTGGCGGGGCGTCCCGCGGGCCTGCACAGCCTGTCGCGGCCGAGGAAGGGGGGGCAGAGCTGTCAGAATCGGTCCCTGGGCCCCCCCCCCACTGTCGAAGCGCAGCAATATTGTCTGCTGAGTCCAGCCGTGGCGGCGAGGAGACTTCCTGAAGGCGAACTGTCTGTGTGAGAACTCGGCCTCCGCCGATTTCGTCTGGCCCGAGCCTGGGCAGAGGCTGACATCCTCGCTGCGTCCATCGCCTGGGCCGCCTCTCGAAAGCACCCAAACACCTCGCGGCGCTGCGCCGCGCGAGGCCCGGTAACCTTCGCGCCCTTGTGTCCGCACCCTCGGAAACGGGCAGCGCTGCGTATGCAGCCATGAGTCGTGTGAGGGGTGCGCCGAGCTGGAGGGTAGAACCGCTGCGCGCTCTTCTCTGACACAATACTAGTGTCTCTTCCACCTTCCATCTCCGCAGAAACGAAAACCAGAACTCCAGAGTAAGCCCAAAGCGCAGGTTGGTGAAAGACGTCTCGCCAGAACCCTTTTGCCCACCTGGGACCTCGGAGAATAAACCTCGACCGTGGTGTTGATCTTCCGTCGACGTGGCGGGACGAGGGATGGTCTTGGGGGGCTTTTTTGGGGTCGACCTCGGGACCATGGAGATAGGCCTCCGAAGTTACGGAGTCTTTTTCATGGGCGTTGTTAATCCACGAACGATCCGTGCGAGACGTCTGTGCCCCATCCGGAGCCTGGGGAAAACCTTCAGAGTTGGTACTGGCATTCCGTGGACGTGGCGAGCCGACGAACGTCCTGGGCGAGGGTTAATTGCTCCGCCCCGGGGCGTCGGAAAATAAACCTCCAAATCTGGGTTCATTTCCCGTGGGTGTGGCCGCGCCCCAGGTCATGCATTGGGAGGGTACACCGCAGAAACGAAACCCAGACCTCCAGAGTAAGCGCCAAAGCGCAGGTTGACGAAAGACGTCTCTCCAAACCCTTTTGCCCACCTGGGACCTCGGAGAATAAACCTCGAGCGTGGTGTTTAATTTCCGTCGACGTGGCGGGCCGAGGAGTGGTCTTAGGGGGGCTTTTTTTCGGCCGACCGCGGAACCATGGAGAATGGCATCCAAGGTTACGGAGTATTTTTCGTGGGCGTCGTTGATCCACGGATGATCCGGGCGAGACGTCTGTACCCCATCTGGAGCTTGGGGGGAAGACTTCGAAGTAGGTACCGGCATTCCGTGGACGTGGCGAATCGACGAACGTCCTGGGCGAGGGTTGATTGCTCCGCCCCAAGGCGTCGGAAAATAAACCTCGTAGTCGGTGTTTATTTTCCGTGGGTGTGGGCGCGCCCCGGGGCTTCTGTTCCGCCTTGTAAGAACCTCTTGGGCCCCTGTTGGGCCGTCTGGCGGTCTCCTGGGAGCCTCTTGGGCCGTCTTGAGTGCCCCTCGGGCCGTCTTGGGGCCGTCTTGTCTGGGACCGTCTTCGGCGGCACCGGGGCTGTCCTCGGACCGCCTTGGGGCTCTCTTGGGTCGTCTTTGGCTCCTCTTGGGGCTATCATGGGAGCCTCTTGGGCCGTCATGGGCGCCTCAGGAGCCGTCCTGGGACCGCCGTAGGCCGTCTTGGGGCCCTCCCGGGGGCCTCCTGGGCGCTCTGGTGACGATCTTTGGAGACAATGTTGTCGTCTTGGGCGCTTTGACGACGAAAAGCACGGGAATTGCCAAAATGGATGTTTTCCGTAAGGATTTGGAAGATTTGCCCTCGTTCTTGGAACCCACTTGGAGCAATTTGGACGCCTCTTGAGCCGTCTGGAGGCTATCTTGGGCGTCTTCGAGAGCTCTTGGACCATCTCGGAGGCCCTCTTGGACCGTCTTGGGGCGTCTTGGGGTCCTCTCGGAGAGTTCGGGTCTCGGAGCGCTCTTGGGCCTTCCTGGAAGCGCGCCGAGGCCAGCTGGGCTCGCGGGGGCCCGCAGGGGGCGCCAGAGGAGCGTGTCCGACCCCCGCACTTCTCGCACGCGCGGGGCCCTGCAATGTAGTAGAGACTCGTGTGTACCCGTGCTTGCTGCCACTGGCCGCGGGGGTTGCCGAACCATGGATGGGTCTGCAAGCGACAGCCACATGCCAGGTCCTCGCCGGGGCCGCGGGCCGCGCGACCGCGCGGCCGTTTGGGGCTGGCTTGGACACCTCTGGGGCAGTGTCGGGACCGTCTTGGGGCCGCCGTGCCCGAGGGCACCAAGAGGGCTCCCGGATGGCTCCAAGAGGGCCCCAGGACGCTGCCGGGCGCGGGCACATCATTTTGCCACGAGAGGCCTATCTGTGGCAGAATGCACCAGGCCATGTCTTCGGGGGGGCCTGAAGGCCTCAAGAGGGCCGCACGAGCGCCCCCAAGGGGCCCCAAGAGGGCCCCAAACCGCAGGAATGGGGGGAGGAGACGGGAGGAGGGAAGGGGATGAGGGTGGCGATAGGCTCAGCCTTCCGACCTGGCTATACCCACGTCGTCTCGGGCCGCTCTTGGGAGCCGCTTGGGCCATCTTGGGGCGATCTGGGGGGTTCTTGTGGGCTGTCTGTCCATGTCGGGAGCCCGAAGAGGCGAGTATGCCAAAACTGGTCCCAAACTCACAAGGAAAACTGTTTGTCGCCTCTGGGGCCCCTGTCGGGGGTGCTCTTGGAGCGCTCCTGGGGCGTCATGGGGGTGTTTTGGTGCACAGTGGGAGGCTCCTGGAGGGCTCTTGGGGCTTCCTGGGGGCCTCTTGGGGTGGAGGGCAGCGTCTTTGGGCTCCCTGGGGGCCTCTTGGGGCCGTTGCTGCGCTCTCAGGGGCCGTCGTGGGGACCTCTTGGGGCAGTCTTGGGGACCTCTTGGACCGTCTCGGGGCGCTCTTGGGAGATTTGTGGGCCAACTTGGGGCGATCTTCAGCCGTCTAGCGGCGATCCTGGCGGCCTGTAGGGCTCGCCTGTAGCGTCGGAAGCTTGAAAAGACAAACATGCCCAAAGCCTAAAACATCAAAGGATAACGATGATTCTGGCCTCTGGGCGCCCTTTGAGAAAAGTCTTGGAACGCTCAGGGAGTCCCCTTCGGGCCGCGCGGAGCCGTGTTGGAGGCATCTAGGTTATCTCGGGGGCCTCTTCGGGCGGAGGGCAGCGTCTGTGGGCTCCCTGGGGGCCTCTTGGGGCCGCTGCTGCGCTCTCCTGGGCCGTCTTGGGGACCTCTTGGGGCAATCTTGGGAACCTCTTGGACCGTTTCGGCGCTCTTGGGAGATTCGTGGGCCGTCTTGGGGCGATCTTGAGCCATCTAGGGGCGATCCTGGCGGCTTCGGGGGCCTGCCTGGAGCGGCGGAAGCAGGAAACGGCAAGCCTGCCTAAATCTTTGAAAAAACCAAGGGAAATCAACGATTCTGGCCTCTGGGGCCCCTTTGAGAGGACTCTTGGAACGCTCAGGGGGTCCCCTTGGGGCCGTACGGAGCCGTTTTGGAGAATCTGGGCATCGTGGAGCGCTCATGGGCCGTCTTGGAGGCACTGGGGCCGTCTTGGGGGCTATCTTGGAGTGCGCTGGAGCCGCCCAGAGACGCCCTGGAGCCGGCCGAAGCCGCCCGGACGCGCACGGGGACGCCCGCGCTGCACCTCCTTCTCGCACGCGCATGCCCCTGCAATGTATTAGAGATGACATTGGGTTCCGTTTTCACCTCCCGCATCTCGCTAAGTAGAGATAGTGCCCCCTGCCACTGCCTGAGTCTCTTACATGCAATGATCCCCGCGTTATAGCTGATGACGTTGGGACTCACCGTCGCTTCAACCAACTCGCTGAGCAGTGACATCACATACTGCTACTCCTCGCCTTTTTCCACGTGCGCTAGCAATCGCAATGTATCGACTTGGGCTGGTTTTCGCACATTGTTGGGATGCCTCGCGGAAGCAGTGCAGTGCTGAGCTCCACCTCTTGTCCTCCCACGTTGTCTTATGACCGCCTGGAATTGAAAATCATCTGGTCGGGATCCTCGCTTGACATCCCTAACATCTGTGGCGACCTTGAGCCTCCAGTGTCCTCGAACCTCGACTAGAGGAACAACACATTGCGAGGTCCGCCCAGATTTCTTGGGTCGGGGCTGGACCTCCCTCTAATGGCGCTCGAAGCGCGCCAAAGGTGGCGCTGGAGGCGCCGCCAGGGGGGCTCCAACGCAGATATCAAGAAATCCGCGCGGTCCTCCGAAGACCTATTTTTTGGGGGATCCAACGGCGGCCCAAGAAAACAGCACGGTCCTCAGAAAGTTTTTGTCGTTTCGCTTATCTTTCCCTTTCTTCTGAGAGGGGTAGGGGAGGAGGGGGAAGAGGAGGGGATCAAGCGACTGCCATGCACAACGCTGCGTGCGGTTTTTCATCGAACCCGCGCCGAGCATTGTTAGACGTACGCTTTTGCCCACGCGCCTGGTGGCGTATGATTCATTCGTTCGTTCGTTCTCCTGAGATAGGGGAACAAACAATGGCATAAACATAACAACTCAGAGGTCCGCGCGGACTTCACGAATCGGCGCTGGATCTCCCCTCCCTGGCGTGTGGAGCGCGCTAAGGGCGGCGCTGGAGGCGCCGCCAAGGGGCCCCAACGCCGATCCAAGGAATCCGCGCGGACCTCGGAGTTGCTATGTTTATGGCATTGTTTGTTCCCCTAAGAGAGACAGAGAGGGAGAGCGAGAGAGAGGGAGAGAGAGAGAGAGAGAGGGAGAGCAGCCCAGAGATCAGACATCACGTTTTCTACTACGGGGTCCACGGGCCTCTCGATTTCTTCCCCGGCTCTCCGCCGCCGAGGCGGCTGGCGGCCAAAGATGGCGACAGCCTGGCCGGCCCCACCCCCGATGTTGTCGAGGCGCCGGACGTCTCAGCCCTCGGGCATCGTGTTTTTCTCGCCGCGTGGACCCCCGGAGCTGTAGGCCTCTTGATGACTTTTTTTCTGCTGTCTCCCCCCCCATCCCTGGAGACGTATTTGACGGCCCTGGGGCCCGTTGAAGGCGCCCCAGAGCCGAACATTGAGAAAACTGCCCCCTTGTAGCTTTTCCCGACGAAAATAAATTCGTGCTCGAACGAAAAGAACCCACATATTCGACGATGTGGTTTTTCAATCCGCACTCCCCAGATGTCTCGACCATGGGAACGGTTTTTCGTCCTGGATACACTTTTGATGATCCCAGGGCCCGAAGCCACCCAAAGGAACAGAGTGAGAATCTGGAGGCCTCCCAAATGGGGCCGGACCCGATGGCGTCGGAGGATCGCGCCGCATCGCCAATGCATCGGCGACGGCGGGATGGACGTCGGGCTCCACATCGAGCCGCGTTGCCCATGCATCGGCGATGCGGCGCGATCCTCCGACCCATCTACGCGGTCCCCACTTGGGAGGCCAAGGCTGGTTGCGGGGTCCGCAAACGCCACCTGGAGGCTGAAAGTACACAACAAACGCAGAGGCTGCAAAACATCACCCCTTTGAAGGTCTGAGAAGATCGGGTCGGACGAAGAGGGGTGGGTAGTAAAGAGAGGGTTAGCAAATCAGCTCGCATATCTGACTTCCCGTCGCATCCCAACGCCAGCGGCGCCCATGCAGCAATTCTCGTTCCCCCACCCTTTTCATTTCCCTTCTCTTCCGCCCGACCCGACCCCTCTCCTCGAGGTGGCGCTGCATTCGCCACCTGCCTTCATATGGTCCCTCCTGCTGTCGTCTTCGCCCTTTGTATTATATATCGGAGGTTGGGGGGTGAGCTCGCAGTGGAACAGAGACCCCCAACGGGGAAATCGTTTTGTTTTGTTCGTGTCGTGCGTGCGGGCGAGGCGAAACTGCGTGGGCGCGCGAGAGGAATGAACCCGCCGTTGCTAGGGCGAAGTCAAGACAAATGATTCTCCCCCGTGCGTCCGTCCGTCCGGCGGTGGCCCTAGCGGTGTCCTGCGGTGTCCGCCGTTGCTAGGGCAAAGTCAAGACAAATGATTCTCCCCCGTCCGTCCGTCCGTCCGGCGGTGGCCCGCGGTGTCCCGCGGTGTCCCGCGGTGTCCCGTGGTGTCCTGTCGTGTCTGCCGTTGCTAGGGCGACGCCAAGACAAAGGATTCTCCCCCGTCCATCCGTTCGTCCGGCGGTGGCTCGCGGTGTCCCGCGGTGTCCCGTGGTGTCCCGTGGTGCTCCGTGGTGTCCCGTTGAGTGAGATCGATAGTGAGATCGATGTGGTGCCCCGAGGTGTCCCGTGGTGTCCCAAAAGGTGAGATCGATAGTGAGATCGACAGGTGTCCCGTGGTGTCCCGTTGAATGAGATCGATAGTGAGATCGATACTGAGATCGATGTGGTGTCCCGAGGTGTCTCGTGGGGTCCCCCAAAAAGAAATCGATCGTGAGAACGATGGTGAGACCGATAATGAGATCGATGTGGTGTCCCGAGGTGTCTCGTGGTGTCCCATAAAATGAGATCGGTAGTGAGATCGATGGTGAGATCGACAAGTGTCCAGTGATGTCCCGTGGTGTCCCGTTGAGTGAGATCGATAATGAGATCGATGCTGAGAACGATGTGGTGTCCCGAGGTGTCCTGTGGTGTCCCGTTGAGTGAGATCGAGAGGTGTCCCGCTGTGTCCCGTGGTGTCCCGCTGAGTGAGATCGATAGTGAGATCGATTGAGTCAGATGTTGGTCCCCCCCCTCCCCCCCCCCACAACCTCCTTCTCACCCGAAGGGTGGTCGTCGGAGGTGAAGGGGTGAGATCGAAGTGGAACGGAGAGCCCCCCTACCGGGAAATCGATTTCGGTTTCGTGTTCGTGCGTGCCGTGCGTGCGGGCGAGGCGAAGCTGCGTGGGCGGGCGAGAAGAAAGTCTCCTGTAGCTGAGGCGCGGCCGGACCAAATGATTCCGGACCGGCGTCAAGTGGCCCGCGATGTCCCGCCGGTGTCCCGCTTCCGGCTGAGGCGCGGCCAGACCAAATGATTCCGGACCGGCGTCTGGTGGCCCGCGGTGTCCCGCCGGTGTCCCGCCTCCGGCTAAGGCGCGGCCGGATCAAATGATTCTGGACCCGCGTTCGGTGGCCCGCGGTGTCCCGCCGGTGTCCCGTCGGTGTCCCGATGATGATGATGATGATGATGATGATGATGATGATGATGATGATGATGATGATGATGATGACGATGATGATGTTGCTGATGATGATGATGATGACGATGATGATGATGATGATGATGATGATAATGTCAATGATGTTGATGATGATGATGGTGATGGTGGTGATGATGAGGGTGCCCCGATGATGATGATGATGATGATGATGATGATGATGATGATGATGATGATGTTGTTGATGTTGACGATGTTGATGGTGTCCCGATGATGATGATGTTGGTGATGATGGTGATGATGTTGCTGATGATGATGATGATGATGGTGTCCCGATAATGATGATGACGATGATGGTGTTGATAATCCTGATGAGATGACGATGATGAAGATGATGATGATGATGATGATGATGGTCTCCCGATGATGATGATGAAGTTGATGATGATGCTGTTGATGGTGATGGTGATGATGATGATGGTGTCCAGATGATGATGATGATGATGATGATGATGATGATGATGAGGTTGATGATTATGACGATGATGGTGTCCCGATGATGATGATGATGTTGATGATGAGGGTGATGGTGAGGTGATGATGATGATTTTGATGATTGTGGCCCGATGATGGTGATGATGATGCTGATGTTTATTATGATGATGGTGTCCCGATAATGATGATCAGGTTGATGATGATGGTGACGATGATGATGGTGTCCCGATGATGATGTCGATGATGATGATGTTGCTGATGATGATGATGGTGTCCCGATGATGATGATGATGTTGGTGATGTCGTTCATGATGGTGATGATGATGAGATGATGATGATGGTGATGATGATGATGATGGTGGTGTTCCGATGATGAGGATGGTGTCCCGATGATGATGATGATGTTGATGATGATGATGATGGTGACGATGATGGTGCCCCGATGCTGATGATGATGTTGATGATGATGGTGATGAGGTGGTGATGATGATGATGGTGTCCCGATGGTGATGATGATGATGATGATGTTGATGACGTTGGTGACGATGATGCTGATGATGATGACGTTGATTGTGAGATCGTTTGTGCTATCGATAATGAGATCGATAGTGAGACCAAGTGTGAGATCGATTGTGAGATCGATAGTGAGATCGATCGTGAGATCGATTGTGAGATCGATAGTGAGATCGATTGTGAGATCGATCGATCGAAATAGATCGAGCGAGACCGATAGTGAGGTCGATAGTGAGACCGATCGAGTGAGACGTTGGTTCCTCCCCCCCCGAACCTCCTTGTCACCCGAAGGGTGGTCGTATAGGCATAGGTAGATATTGTTCCCAACAATCCTGTGGTGTTGGGTCCTCGTTTGAAAGAGACAGCGCCCCGCGTTCTCCTCCTCCTCCCCTCCTCCCTCCTCACATGCGTGCCTCAGCCCTCCGCATGTCTATTTCGGCACACATCTCACACGGTTCGTGGCCCCATAGGAGCTTCACCGAAGGCCTCAGTGGCAAAGTTCGCATGCGGTTCCCCGCCCATGTCGGCACACACCTCACACGGTTCGTGGCCCAACAGGGAGCTCCACCGAAGGCCCCAGTGGCAGAGTTCGCATGCGGTTCCCCGCCCATTTCGGCACACACCTCTTCGGGCTCTCGCGGGGTTTTCGTTGGCAGTCTGAAGGGTTTCCCGACAGGCCTGGGTGGGCCAAATTCGTTAGGGTGAGGTGGGGGGCGCTTTTTCCGGGGTCCCAGGCCCTCTCTCTCTATATACTTATGTATGTATAAGGAATGTGCGCCACCGTGCCGCTGGCCACGGAGTGGACGTGCCCCCAGATCTGCCTCAGTCCTCGCTCCTGGAATCTTCTAGGAGTTCGGAGCCGCTCAGCCCAAGTCTCTCGGCGCTCCCCGCGTCTTGTCGCGTGACCGCTTCGGACCAAAGAGAACCCCAAGACGAACCATGAGAGCCCCCAAATCCCCCGAGAAGGACCGGAAGGCCCCAATTCGTCGAAAGAGCGCTTCAAAAATACCAGCCAGCCCAAGAGACCTCCAAAAAGCCTCCCCAGAGAAGCCCAAGACGCCCAAATCATTCATTCTCCTCAGATTGTCAAGGATGTGG